GAGATGGATCAGCCAGGTGGCATCATTGATGGACTCGGGTGTGGCAGCGGTAGTGAGGTTGGCCCAGGATCGGACATTGTTTCGTTCTGCTGTGCATGGGGTCGCTATGAGTCGGTTCCGACTCGATGGGACCTGACAACAACTTCTATCTTCCTGCTGTCCCTCACTGCCTCAAACTTTTTCCCTTACAGCTAATTTTCCATCCAAATGTTAACTGACCTCTCTACATTGTTGCTCTCACCAGTGCCCCACACTTCCTCCCCCACCAACTCCTTTTCTTGGCTTCTGTAATAATGACTGCCCTGATTTTCATGCTACCTTTCTGGTTGGTCATTCTTTTTTTTTCCCCTTTCAGGCTCATTCTCCTATACCAGCCAATGAAAGTTCCTCAAAACTCCTTTTTCCTTCTCACTTGAGATTCTCCTTAGCTTCCACATGCCTTCTGTTGACTTCAGTTACTACCTACACAGGTCATCTTTCCACATTGCTATCTCCAATCCCGACTTCTCAACTATCAACTCACTATTTTTGCTCAACAACTACAGTATATCCACAAGTAAAGTTCAGATCTTCATCTTCAACCTGGATGTTCTTTCAGGACACACCGGTGCAGTAGTAAAGACTCACTGTCCACTGTTTTATGAGTCAAATCACTGAAGTCCGCTATCACACATCCTTTCCCCAGAGTCCACCCATCAGCAAGCACTCCTGATTTAACCTCCTGTGTACTTCTATCTACACAGTCTGTCCATTCCTCATCCCATCACCACCACAACCCAAGCTCTTTTTCTCCCAGGCACTCTCTTCTTGGATTATTCAAACAATCTTTTTGTAAACAGTGTGCTCCTCACATTATTGCCTTTCCCTAAAAAGTCAGTTGCTGGGGAGTTAATTCTAACTCATGCGACCCCATGTGTGTCCAAGTAGAAACTGATATCAATAATTGATATTTTTAGAAGTAGATCTCCAGGCCTTTCTTCCAAGGCACTTCTGGGTGGTCTTGAACCACCAACTTTTTGACTATCAGCCAAGGGCATTAACCATTCATTTGCACCACCCAGGATCTCCCCTCTTTCCTAAGTTACTGCTTATTCTTCATTCTTACATCACTTAGAGACGCCTTCGTAATCAGATCCATATCTCTTATTATAAATTCTTAGACCATGCACCTATGCCTTTAATAAGGAGTCCTGGCGTGGTGCTGTGGGCTAATGCGTCAGAGAGCAAAGTCATTTGAACTGCAAGGTCGGTGGTTCAAGCTCACTAGCTGCTCCTTGGAAACCCTATACAGTGTCGCTATGGGTCGGATCGACTCAATGGCACTTAACAACAACAACATGCCTTTATAACACTTATCACCATATCATTTTATGCTGATTTATATACTCTTGATTAATATTTGTTTCCCTTGACAGAATTTGAGTTCCAGGAAGGTAGGAAAACATGTATTTTTATTCTCATTAGTTTATTCTTTATGCACAGCAATGTACCTGGCTTACAATTATCACTTAAAGTATATTTGCTGAATCAATGAATGAATGATGTGGCATAGAAAGACCACATAGCTGTTGTGGAGACAAAGCATTCATAAATAGTCTCATCTAATGCTATTCTCACCAAGCAACTTGTTGATTTATAATTTCGTTTCTAAGGTCAAAAATTATATCTGCGAAAGGAATGAGAAAAACTTTCTAAGTCCCAAGATTTCACAAAATAGAGGTAATGGACAGGAACTCCAGATTAAGATAGCATCAGCACTGAGTCCCAGCTCTGGATATATTAGCAAAAGAATGACCCTGGGCAAGTTCCTTCAATGCTGAGCTCAGTTTTCTTATCTCTAAAATGGAAAAAGTACTTGACTTTCTCAAACACGGTCATAGGAAGTTAATGACTTAATAAAACACAGATACAACCTATTGCTTAGAATGTTTTTCAGATTTATTACTTTACTACTGTTAGTTTACAATGCTATTGCTAAATGTTAAATTAATATTAACATAAGAGAAACTGGATAGATGTATGGCTTCCAAAGTTCCTCCCAGCTCTAACAGTTAGGATCCCACTGTGTTCCTAATGATTAACAATTTTCTTTTAGTTACTGAAAAATATTTCAATCTTGCTTAAATTGTTAATACAAAAGACCTATAAGAGTCTACTCCTAACAAGCTACATTCCTGAAAAAGCATTCACTGTAACACCAACTAAAAACCCAAGAAGGCTTCAGATTTTATTGAATGCCATATCCCATGCTGTCTGGTTTTCTACTTCTTTGGGAATTTTGGTATACACTAAACATATAAATTATGGGCAGGCTGTAATAGAGCAATCTTTGCCTCTGATTGTGGAATCCATCAAAAATCTTTTCAAGGGCAACACTGATTTGACACCTAGCCCGAGTATGCAGCTTTGGAAGAATGCTAGGTTTAATCCCTGCATAATTAGGGCTACCTGGGCTCCAGCAGGCCTTGCTCCACTCCCCAGGCCATTTCCTTCACAGCATTGCTGATCTCATGGCGGGATGTATATGCAAAGCAGACATTCAGGAAACACCTGAGAAGGGAAGAACAAAACAATTCACTGAAGAGCCTGAAAGACTGGGGAGCAGAGACAGAACAACTGGATCACTGATACACAACACCTCTTCCCTGGAAGAACACACACCAAATGTTAGCTGTGGATACCTCGGAATGCTAAGATGATGATCTTTTTGTGTTTTCCAAGTTTACTGAAATAAACATGTTACTAACTTTATAATAAAACAAATATAAAGTGACCCTTATTGCCCTCTTTGTTGTTAAGTATTTGTCAAGTCAGTTCCAATTCATAGTGACCTTGTATAGGGTGTCCAAGGAGTGGCTGGTGGGTTTGAACCACTGACCTTGTGGTTAGTAGTCCAGTGCTTACTCTACAGTGCCACACTAGAACTCCACTGTCCTCCTAGAAGACATGAATACACTGTGATATTGCTGCTGTTATTGTTAAGTGCGTTGGAGTCAGTTCCGACCTATAGTGACCCTGTATAGGGTTTTTGAGGAGCGGCTGCTTAGCTTGAACTGCTGACCTTCTGGTTCAAATGACTTTGCAATCCAGCGCATTAACCCGCAGCACCACACCAGGACTCCACTGTGATACCAGCACAAGCAAAATAAGGAAATCTGATACCAAACAAATTTACTACCAAACATATTTCAAAGTCACACATAACAAAGCTTGGATTACTGAACTCTGTTTCTCTGTCTACATGACATCCCAAGGTCATCCTACCATGGGTTAAAGGATTGGGATAGAAAAGAATGTTTTGAAGGATCAGTCTGCAAAGAGACAGGAATGAGACTTGCTGCATAATCACCCCACCCCCTCACAAGTAAAATATATATACTTTATATATTTTAGGAGATCACATGAAGGGGGAAGTGGATGAGAAACTGTGTCTAAGTATACACACATATAATGTTGCAGGTCTGCTCTGCGGATGGAAGAAGGATATCTCTAAATGTCCAAACTCCCCTTCATTGTCTTCAGAACTAAATGTAGGCCAAGGAAGGCTCAGGATATCCACCAAAGTTAGTAAAGTCAACCACTGACAGAGGCCCCTAGGGAGAAATCTGGGAACTTACTTGTTGTAGTTTTTGGTGGCTTGTACAGCTTGTGCAATCAGCTCCTGGAGATCCACAGGCAACAAATGTAGATCACCTAGGACTCGGATACACACCCCATGCTTCTGTAGTTTCTCCCTGAGCAGGGGGGAAAAGAGGTAGGGTTGGGCAAAGTACCTGCTCAAGTGGAGGGACTCAAGTACAGGTACTTTGATAATAATCAACTATGAGATTCTGGTTGTTTTCCAGTGTCAGGCACTGTTCTATGTATGTTATTTCACCGCATTCCCTCAACAACTCTGAAAGGATTGTATGAAGTTCCATTTGAGAGCAGGAAACTGAGGCTCAGCAAGAAGCAACTTGTTCAAGGTCATATAGTCAGGAAGTGCTGTGACAGGATTGAAACCCAGCTCTGATTTGACAACCTGAACTCTTTTCCATACACCATACACATTACACATGCCCTTGTCGGAAAGATGCATTTTATGTATTCTGTGGTATGTTTATCCCATCTAGACAAGCAAGTAAACTTGTTAGGAGTAGGGGCTATATTACTTGTTACTTTTCTGTTTCCTTGTGAAATATGATAATGGTGACAGTGGACATTAATTATATGTTTACTCTAGTGCCAGACACCATCTAAGTGCCTTACATGTACCAACACATTCCATCCTCACACTGACCTTTGAGGTAGGTACCATCGTTATTCCCATTTTCCAGATAAGAAAAATATGTCACAGGGAGGTTAGGTAGTTTTTTCAACATCAGACAACTAGTGAGTGCAAACCTAGGGAGTCTGGCTCCTGAGTCTGTCATCCTAGTCGCAATATTATACTGCTTCCAAACAGTAATTCTCAAACTCTCTACAATGTAACCCAACCACCCTGGAACTCACCTGGGAATGCTATCGAGAAATTGAACAACAAATGTTTGGAAAAAGGAAGCTTAATAACGAGAAGTATATGGTGGGGTGGGGGTGTCCTGGGGGCCTTGATCCAGACCTGAAGGTCACAACCATACTATATCTACTCTTATCCACATTTTTCCAAGGATTAAGCAAAATCTAACCACTTATTTCTGAGAACCTACTGGAGCTATAACAGACACATATATAGTCAAATCAAGGCAAAATTTTAACACGAACATCTAGATTTGAGTTGCCATCACTTACTGTGTGACTTACATAATCACTTAACTTCTCTGAGCCTCAGTCCCTCCCATGAACACCAGGCAGGGTGGGATGGGGTAATAGTCATCTCTGCCACACTACTGTCATAGGCTTGTGTTACATTTTACAGTGCCTATTGTCAGCTACCAGAGGTAGAACACATGAGCTCTATAGAGAAGAAAGCTGTGAACGTCTGGAGAGGAGTCAGGAGACCTGGATTCCCACTAACTCGCTGTGTGACCACCGGCAAGCCCTTGCTTTTCTTGATCCTTCTCTTCACTTGCATATAGTTCCCCAAGTGATGAAGTGACAACAGACTAGTACTTTTCAAATGTTCCCTTAGCCTAAGAACTCTTTCTTTAAAATAGAAAATAGATTAATGAAAGGCAGACCCTGTACCCCAACTCCTTATTTCTTGTCAGTTCTATTCCTCAGAACTCTGCGCTCTGTGACACATTGTAGAAAATCACATCTGAGGTTTCCTCATGCTCTGTCTGGGACTTCATGGCAATTTTCTCTATAATTGGTTGGTTGAGTACTCTCAGAACTTGTAACTGCTTCGCATTTGACCTTTCAGGAAACATAAAATTATCTCAGGACTTTCAGAGCAACGCACACAGAGAACTCGGGCTCTGGATTCAGAAAGACCCACGTCTGCATCTTGGCTTTGGGTGTGAACTCTGAGCCATACTTGCCCTGTTGGGGACCAGAAGTAAGGTCAGTGGCTGAGGGTCTCACCATCCTATCTAAACAGAGAGAAGACTGGTTGCGAACCCTCCACCTCCACCAAGGATCCATGTAGGGACCGAATGACAGAATGACAGAAAGTGGTTTCAGGTCCAGCCCCACCAGAGGTGCAGGCTCTCTGTGCTCCTATCTTCTTAGTCCTAGTGCAGACATGAACTAGGCTATAGAATAGTTGTATGGAAGTAAGCAATTCAGGTTGGTGAGGACTCCATATTTTGAAGCAAGTAATTGTCATCAAATTTCCTTTTTGCCCTTTTCTGGTCTTGCTCCCTAATTAGCCTAAACTTAGCTACAGTTAAGAATGGTGCTGATACTTCCCAATAAAGACTTCTTATGCATCATAATTTCACTCCCAAGAGAGCATGCGGGGGTATAGCAACTTCTTAGGGTTTACTGCCCAGCAGAAGATGACTTTTTCAATGTTTTCCTCACCCTACCTTCCAGGCCACGGTTTATTGGTCCAAGGATAAAAATTTTAGCTAAGCTAGGTCTATTAAAGGAATTATTCTGAACTGTTCTCTTGGAGCAGAGAAAGCTGGTCTGCAGAGAGAGATGGTCTGCAGAGAGGCTCTACCTAATGGATTTCAATTTCGAGTTTCATTTTGCTTGAGGCTGGCTGTACTTGTCCTTGCATTCTGTACAATAATCTCTATAGCCTCAAATAAAGTCTCCTTTTATAAGAAAAACTAGCACGTGTTTCTGATATTTGCCACTGAAAACTACTAACAAACATTAAAAGGATTTACAAGGCCCATTACAGCAGCCTTGGCTAAACAGAGCTGTAAGGGTTAGGGGAAGGCTACAAGTGGTATAAGTGCTCCCCCTGGCAGCATCTTACTGTTCTTCCATCAAGCGGTTGAACTTCTGTCGGGCCAGATCCATTAGTCCGTCTACCTCGTTCTTGGAGCGTTTGAAGTTCTCAATGCTGAATGCGTAGACCGTCACCTCTAGGATGCCCAGATTCAAACACCAGCGCAGAGTCTGAGAGGGGAGAAGGCAAGGAGCTAGGTACAAGGAAAGGAAGAGTGGGAAGGGACATAAGAGATGCTCTAGTACTGTCTCAGTATTGGAGGTAACAGATATTTTTCTTTCTCCCTCAAACTGTGAAAACATAGGACAACATCAGAATTATGAACCAAGTAAGCAGAAAGCTACCCTTTAAGAAACTGGATAATGTGACCTTAATGAGTACTACCACACCGATGCCACTGTAATTTACTGGAAAGAACTTTCACAGAGAGAGTAAAGATCTGGGTTCTAGTCCATGACTCCTCCAGCATGCACTTGCTTTGGAAATGTAGGCAAGTCATTTAACCACTGTGGGCTTTAGTCTCCTTATCTGTAAAATGGGATCATAATCCATCCTTCCCCAAGGTTAGGTTAAGGATCGATATAAAAACACAAGGTATTGGCCCAGTGTCAGTGACATAGCCACAGAGGACTAGAATGGAGAGTGAAGCATCCAGCTGATAAGAAGAGAGGGCATATGCACAAGAACACCCACACTTGCAGATAATACTCCTTTGACCTGGCTTCAATAACTGGATGATCGAAGCTCAACCAGAAGAAGAAAGAAGAGGAAAAAAAAAGAGTAATCTGATACAATTTGATGAACTTAACCTACACCTATGGAACCAGTAGCTCAAAAGAGGGAACAAATCCTTACAGCAAGAATCATTCCCACCCCCTCCACACAGAGTAGACAGGGATGGGCAACTTAGACATTGGCTACCCAAAATGGGGTGGGGGTAGGGCTACAAAGGCAAGAAGTGACTGGCTTACAAGCTTTCAAGAGGGAACCTAGATCCAGAGGGCCTGGAGGAAGGTAGAATCTCCAGTGAGTAGTATCCAATCTGAGTAGGCGGGGCTGATGAAATGAAATGCGGATAGGTCTCTTGTGATACAATAGTGAATAATTGTTATCAGGACTGATTGTAAGGGTTGGAAATGTAAAGGCAGACTTTTGTAGCAAGGAGGGGAGTGACTGACTTTCCAGTCTAGGAGTGGAGGTCCCTAGGACCATCATGGGAGAAGAACGGAGAGTGGGACCCTACCCAGAAAAGCAGTGATGCCTGAGATGGAGGCAGAGACAATGACATGGAGCGATGGAGCAGCTGGGGACTTTAGACCCAGAGAGGGAGAGGGACTGTGTGCTGAAGACCAGGAGGATGTGGTGGGCAGGCTTGCAGGGTATACCCTTTGGTTGGCTGATGATGCATGGAGGGGATTGTAACCATGGCAATAAGACGATATATGATAGAATGAATGTAAAGCTAATGTTCTCCCATGTAAACTATCACATAATTCACAATAAAACATTTTTTAAAAAAACCAAAAAACACAAGGTATTATAATAGCATAATTTCATTATCCTGGTAGAGTGAGGATAACAAAGACGATTTATAAAAATATAAAAATAAAAGCAAAAATTAAACAGTTGTGCAATATTTAATAGTCCGCAAAAGACATACATACACGTGATCCTCTTGATAATAATATAATTCCTTTAATTCCATTTGATTCTTCAATCAGCCACAGACATCATAATGCCTATTTTAATACATGATAAAACTGAAGCTCAGAGAGTTGTAAATGCTTACCAAAAGTTAACAACTCTACTACATGACTCCATTAAGTGACATTCTAAACCAGGAAAAACTATAGTGATAGAAATCAAAGCCGTGGTTGCTGGGGAGAGGGAAGGGAAGGTGGAACAAGGGGTGACTTGGAAGGGGCATAAGAAACTTTATTGAGGGATGGAAATGTTCTGCATTTTGACAGGACAGTAGGTTTGACAGACAAATATAACTTGTCAAAATGAAGCTCTGTAGATTTCACTATATGAAATTACATCTCAATTAAAAAAGGAAAACCCATACTTAAATTCAGCTCCCTTGAGGCTGCTCCAACCCAGTTCCACTCCATAAGGTAGAGAACAAAGATGGAGCTGAGAATAACAATGTTGAAATGCGAAGCTGGAGGTGAAAGGTAGCAGGTAGTAGATGTTCAAGCACAGAAGTGAAGAAATAAATCTGAAGACCTGCCTTTCTCATCCCAGAACAAACACACAAACAAATCCATGGCCACCTTTGGAAAAGTGCCACTGAGAACCTGACAGTTGGATAGGCGCAGGCCTTACAGACCATGACTCATAGTGACCCTGTATAGGGTTTCCAAGGAGCGGCTGGTGAGTTTGAACCGCTGACCTTGTGATTCAAAAGGCTTTGTGGTCCAGTGCTTTATCCCACAGTGACACAAGGACTTCTATTTATTTTAATTTTTTCTAACTTTGCTGTGGTGGTTGTTGTTGGTAAGTGCTGTCGAGTCGATTCCAACCCATAGCAACTCTGTATAGGGTTTCCAAGGAGCAGCTGGTGAGCTTGAACTGCTGACCTTGCAGTTCAAACAGCTATGCAGTCTGGCACATTAACCCACAAAGAGGAGTCAATTGTGTGCTCATTCCTAGTATTTTCTGATGATTCACTGGGTAATTACTTTTTCTGTCAATGTGACTTTGAGACCCATAACAAGCAAGCAAAAAAAAAAATTAAAAACTAGAAAACCTTATGGATACTGACAGAAAACAAATCCCCACAGGCTGGTTAACTAGCTATAATCCAGTTCTTCATAGACTGTTTATTTTGCGATCTGTCACCCATACCCACCTCAGCCAGCTTGTTGAACCCCTGGGAGTGGCCCTCCTGCCGCTCGACCTGGCATTTCTTGGCATAGCGACGGTTCCCATCCATTATAAATGCAATGTGTTTGGGCATTGGGCCTGCCTGTGAAGGAAGAAGACAAATGATGAACATATCACATGCTCTTTAGGGATAAAGGGTAACACCATCCCCCAAGAAGATACAAACTGGAGTATTTAAGGAAACCCTGAGGAAAACAATTGGGTATTTTAAGTTTTTGGCTCATCAAATAGGCATTAAGCACTTTCATTTATTAATGTTTATTGAACACTTCCTATATATTAAGTACTATGTTGGACTTTTTATATTTCATCTTATTTTATCATACAACCCTATAAAACAAATATTATTAACTTCATTTTATAGGAAAAAAAGGTAAGAAAAGTCAAAGTGGGGGTCTACCTGTTTCAAGAATTCATCCTTTTTTTTTTTTTTTTTTACAAGTTTTTATTGTGAGGTTTACATGGAAGAATATCAGTTTTACATTCATCCTATCGTATTTTGTTCATTGCAATGAGTACAATCCTCTCCACGCATCATCAAATAACCAAACGGTACACCGCATAGGCCCGCCCTCCGGCTATAAGCACAAAGCCCCTCTCCCTCCCTGAGTTCAGTGTCCCCAGCCACTGCTCCATCTGTCCACGTCATCGTCTCTGTCTCCATCCCTGGTGTCTCTGCCTCTCTGGGTAGGGTTCCCGTCTCAGCTCTTCTCACTTGATGGTCCCAGGGACCTCCACTCCTGGGCTACAAAATCTATCACTCCCCTCCTTTTGTCAAAAAACATCTGCCTCTATATTTCCTACCCTCACAGTCAGTCCTGATGGCAATTATTCACTATTGTACAAGAGTCTTATCCCCATTTCCTTTAACCTGCCAGGTCCCAACAGATTGGAAATCATTCAGTGGTGATTCTACCTTCCACCGCACCGTCTGGAACTAGGCTCCCACTTGAAAGCTTGTAAGCCAGTCACTTCTTGCCTATATAGGCCTCCCCCATTTTGGGTAGCCAATGTCTAAGTTGTCCCTCCCTGTCAACCCTGTGTACCGAGGGGGTGGGAGTGATCTTTGCTGCAAAGATTTGTTCCCTTTTTTGAGCTATTATATGCATAAATATAGGTAAAGTTCATAAAATTGTAGCAAGTTACTTTTTTTCTTCCCCCTCTTCTTTCTTCTTCTAGTCGAGTTCTGATCATTCAGCCATTGAAGCCAGGTCAAGTGGGTACTATCTGCAAGTATGGGTGTTCTTGTGCATCTCCCCTCACTTCATATCAGCTGGATGCTTCACTCTGCTCTAGTCCTCTGTGGCCATGTCACTGCCTCTAGGCCCAGGAGTCCCAGATCTCTTCCTTGGTGAAGTGTCTGTTCATGTCCTGTGCCCATTTTTTTAATTAGGCTATTTGTCTTTTTCTTGTAGAAGTGTTGTGGTTTCCTATATATTTTAGAAATGAGTCCCTTGTCTGATGTGTCATTGCAAAAGATTTTTTCCCATTCTGTAGGTTCCCTTTTTACTCTTTTGGTGAAGTCTTTTGATGCACATAAGTTTTTAATTTTTAATATGTCCCAATCATCTATTTTGTCTACTTTTGTTTGTGCAATTTTCAACATGCTTGGTAGTCTGTGTATTCCCTATATTAAAGCCCTCACATTTGTCCCTATTTTTTCACTGATGACCTTCATAATTTTGGGATTCACATTTGGTTCTTTAATCCATGCTGAGTTGGTTTTTGAAGAATTCATCTTTTAAGCATGTACTGTTAACTACAATTTTGGTTTCATTAGGCTGTAGAGAGACACCCTTGGGCCTTCTAGCCAAAGTCCTGAAGGAGCTCTGGTAGCAGTGGTTACAAGCTGGGCTGCTAACCTCAAGGTCAGCAGTTCAAGACTATCAGCCATTCCGTGGGAGAAAGATGAAGCTTTCTGCTCCCATAAGGATTTACAGCCTGGGAGAAACCCTATGCAGGATGGCAATGAGTCAGAAACAAGTCCCTGGCACACCATCACCACCACCATCAGCCAAAGTCCTTATAACTCCCACCACTGGGTTGAAGTTTCTGATAAGTGCCATTTAGTCAGTTCACGACTCATAGCAACCCTGTATAGGGTTTCCAAAGAAAGGCTGGTGAGTTTGAACTGACAACCTTGCTGTTCAAACCAACCTTGTGGGTAAGTGCTTTTCCTACAGTGCCACACCAGGTAGAACTATGCAAATGAGGTGCTTGTGGCTGACCAAAGGGAATAGATAGCCTGCTAACAATGTATATAAAGTGCATGGTACCCGGTGGGGTTCTTGTTGTTGTTACGTGCCATAGAGTTGGTTTTGACTTATAGCGACCCTGTAAAGAGTTTCCAAGGAGCAGCTGGTGACTTGAACTGCTGACCTTGCAGTCCAGTGCATTAACCAGCAGCACCACACCAGGACTCCACACACCAGGACTAAAATTATGCAAATAAGGTGTATGGAACCCTAAAGAGGAGATTGGTAAATCTTACTGTACTCTTACAACTTAAAAACTACAACCTGTCTGTCAGTTTGTTGTACTATGGTGACATGCAGATTGCTATGATTCTAGAAGCTATGCCACCAGAATTATACAAACCAGCAGGTGTACCTATAGTTGTTTCTGTTAGGTGCCATCAAGTTGGCAACGACTCATAGCGACCTTATGCACAGCAGAACGAAACACTGCCTGATCCTGGGTCAACCTTACTACTGTTGCCACGGTTGAGTCCATTGATGCTGCCACTTGGCCAATCCATCTCGTAGGGGGTCTATCTCTTTTTCTCTGACCCTCCACCTTACCAAACATGATATCCTTCTCCAGCGACTTGTCCCTCCTAACAATATGCCCGAAGTATGAGAGATGAAGTTTGGCCATCTTGGCCTCCAAGGAGCACTCTGGCTGCACTTCTTCCAACACAGATCTGTTAGTTCTATGGGCAGGCCATGGCACTTTCAATATTCTCCTCCAACACCATAACTCAAAAGCATCAGTTCTTCTACGATCTTCCTTATTCACTGTCCCGCTATCGCATGCATATGAGGTTATAGAAAATACCATGGCTTGGGTCAGGCACACCTTAGTTCTCAAGCTGACATCTTTGCTCTTCAACACTTTAAAAAGGTCTTGTGCAGCAGATTTGCTTAATGCAATAAGTTGTTTGATTTCTTGACTGCTGCTTCCATGAGTGTTGACAGTTGATCCAAGAAGAATGAAGTCCTTGACAACGTCAATCTTTTCTCTGTTGATAAGAATGTTGTTTATTGGTCCAGTGGTGAGGATTTTTGTTTTCTTTACATTGAGATGTAGTGGACATGTTTAAATGGAGTTTCCAGACTAAGAAAGACTAGGAAGAAGGAGAGGTGGACCATTTCTGAAAGGTTAACCACTGAAAACCTTATGAATAGCCACAAAATGTGCCTGTCAGGTTGGAAGACACTCAAAATAATGACTGGAGAAGAGATGCCTCCTCAAAGTAGTCATGGATGTCATTAAGGTCAACTCTACTATGATGAGCAAGGTAAGCAGTTCGAATCTACCAGCTACTCCACGGGAAAAAGATGAGGCTTTCTTTTCCTGTAAAGATTTACAGCCTTGGAAACCCTATACAGGGTCCCTGTGAATCAAAACCAATTACATGGTACAAACCACCACCACCACCTACTTTGAGGAGGAAGCTCTTCTCCAGTTGTGTTTTAGGTGACTTCTGATATACAAGGGGTCATCTTCTGGCACTATATCAAACAATGTATTGGGGATCTTCATTTGCTGATGGGGCATAATTCAAAATGAGAAGAAACAACTACAAACATCCATTAATAATTAGAAAGCAGAATGCACTAAGGATGAATCTAGGAAAAGTGGAATTCATTAAAAATAAATCGTGCACATAAAGATTGAGATTCTATGCATTAGTGAGCTGAAATGGACAGGTATTGGCCATTGTGAGTCAGACAATCATATACTTTACCATGCCAGAAATGACAAACTGAAAAGGAATGACGTTGCATCCATTATTTCAAGATCAATCTTGAAGTGAAATGCTGTCTGTGATAATATCCATAAGCCTACAATGCAGTAGCCCTGTACGATAAATATTGGAATATGAACCACAAGGTTGGTGGTTCAAGTCCACCAGCCACTTCATGGGGTAAAGATGAGGCTTTCTGTTCCTGCAAAAATTTACAGCCTTGGAAACCCTACACAACTTGACTGCACTTAACAACCAGAAGGAAGATCATTTAATACCACTATTATTCAAATTTACTCACCAAGCACTAAAGTCAAAGAGGATAAAATTGAAGAATTTTACTAAGTTCTTCAGTCTGAATTTGATCAAACATGCAATCAACATACATTAATAAAATTAAAACAACTCCACGAGAGCCAATATACAACCTAGAGTATATCCCACATGTATTTCAGTATAGCGCATCTCAAGATCTGATTAGACACTAATGATCAAAGACCAGAGGAGTTGCTGGATGACATTAACAACGTCATGCCTGAAGAAAGCAAAACGTCATTAATAAGACAAGAAGGAAAGTAAAGGCCAAAATGGATGTCAGAAGAGACTCTGAGACTTGCTATTGAATGTAAAGAACCTAAAGCAGCTGGAAGAAATGATGAAGTAATAAGAGCTGAACAGTACATTTCTAAGGGCAGTTTGAAAAGACAAAGTCAAGTATTATAGTGAAATGTGCTTAGAACTGGAGTTAGAAAACCAAAAGAGAAGAACATGCTCAGCAATTCTCAAACTGAAAGAATTTAAAAAAAAATTTAAGCCTCAGGTTGTGATATCGAAGGATTCTATGTGCAAAATATTGAATAACGCAGTAAGCATCAAGATAAAATGGATGAATAGAGTCACTTTACCAAAAAGAATTGGTCAGTGTTCAATCATTTCAAGAGGCAGCATATGATCAAGAATCAATAGTACTGAATGAAAAAGTTCAAGTTGTACTGAAGGCATTGGTGAAAAACAAAGCTCCCAAATTTGATAGGATACAAATTGAAATATTTCAACACACTGATGCAATGTCATGCCAAGTAATCTGGAAGATAGCTAACTACATGGCCAACTGACTGGAAGAGATCTGTATTTGTACCCATCACAAAGAAAGGTGGTCCAGAGGAATGTGGAAATCACTGAACAATATCATTACTATCACACGCCAAGTAAATTTTGTCAAAGATAATTGGTTGCAGCAGAATATAAACAGGGAGCTACTACAAATTCAAGCTAGATTCAGAAGAGGACATGGAATGTGGGATATCATTGTGATGTCAGATATATTTTGGCAGAAAGCAGAGAATACCAGAAAGATGTTTGTGGTATGCTGTGGAGTCAGTTCCAATTCATAGTGACCCTATATAGAGTTTCCAAGGCTGTAAATCTTTATAGGAGCAGAAAGCCTCATCTTTCTCCCACAGAACAGCTGGTAGTTTCAAACCAATGTCCTTGTGGCTAGCAGCCAAACTAGTAAACACTATGCTACCACAGCTCCTTAGAAGGATGTTTATATTTGCTTTATTAACTATGCAAAGGAATTTGACTATGTGGATCATAACTATGAATAATACTGCGAAGAATGGGACTTCTAAAACACTTCATTGTGTTCATGAGGAACCTGTCCACAGACTAAGAGACACTCCTTAAAACAGAACAAAGAGACACTGAATGGTTTAAAATCAGGAAAGGTGTGCAGCACAGTTGTACCCTTTTACCATATTTATTCAACTGTATGCTGAGCAAATAAATAATCCAAGAAACTGTATTATATGAAAAACATGGCATCAGGATTGGAGAAAAAACTTACTAACAACCTGCGATATGTAAATGCTACAACCTTGCTTGCTGGGAGCTAAGAAGTCTTGAAATACTGATGAAGATCAAAGACTACAACCTTCAGTACAGATTGCACCTCAATGTAAAGAAAACAAAAATCCTCACAATTGGACCAATAAATATCAAGACAGATAAAGAAAAGACTGGGGTTGTCAAAGATCTACAACGAGTGTTCATGGAAACAGCAATCAAGAAATCAAATGACATATGGTATTACGCAAATCTGCTGCAAAAGACCCTCATTAAAGTGTTAAAAAACAAGAATGTCACCTGGAGGACTATGTTGCACTTGACCCAACGCATGGTGTTTTTAATTGCCTTATATACATGTGAACGTTTGGACCATGAATGCTGTTAAGTGCCATCAACCTGGTACCAACTCATAGCAACCCTGTATAAGGTTTCCGAGGAGTGGCTGGTGGATTTGAACCATTGGTCGTGGATTCAAACCAACCTTGTAGCTCAGTGTTTATCCTATAGCACCACAGCAGGACTCAGAATGGACCATGAATAAGGAAGACCATATTAAGAATCAATATATTTGCATTATGTTGTTGGCGAACAATACTGACCTACAGAAAAACAAACAAATCTGTCTTGGAAGTACAAGCAGAATGATCCTTGAAAGCAAGGAGGGCGAGACTTTATCTTTCCTATTCTGGACATATTTGTGAGGAAGGACAGGTCCCTGGAGAAGGACATTGTGCTCAGTGAACTGGAAGCTCATCAAAAAAGAGGAAGACCCTCAATGACATGGATACAGTGGCAGCAACAATGGTCTCAATCATAACAACTGTGAGGATGGCCCAGAACGGAGCTGTGCTTCATTCTGTTGTCCCGGCACAGAGAACGTCCTTGACCCAGGAGATCAAGAAAGAGTTGTAACACAGGAATAGACAATGCAGTGGCTTCCCAGTCCATGAAGCTATAGCTAAGCACTTTTGGGCTGAGGTTTACTGGCAGAATGGGGCGTCTGTTTTATCGGTAGAACTAAAGGAGTTTTGTAAAACTTGCCTGAGCAGGACAAAGACCAGCTTGAGGAGTCGAGGGCCAAAGAGAAACCTGCGTGCAGCACAGCACAAGAATACCCTGATCAAAGAACTATATCCTGAACTTGAATTGTAACCTGTTATTTCCCTCATAAACTCCAAATCTGTAAGTATGATCTACAAGTTCTGCGTGGCCATTGCCAACGAACTACTGAATCCAGCAAAGAAGTACAGTGTGCCCTGTGTGTGATGGCTGGTATCAGAACTGGCAAAAATGTCTGGCCTCTGCCTCATAGAAATCAACCTTGAGCTGTTCACCTTGATTCTCCTTCCCCTTTGTGAAGTAATAAGAGGTCAGACACCTCTTCCATTATGCCAATTTTTACTGGACACTTCCGTTTCTTTTTCCTCACTTTGAAGGGCTGTTCACTGACTGCTTTTCCAGACACTTCTCCAACATTTTCTACTTTAGTTCCTCACAAGTAGACTTTAAAAAAAAAGAGTATCAAGTCAACTCATCTCATGCAGCTTGTTATTCACAACACATGACTGCAGTGGTTCCCTGAGGAGCTATTTTCATTTCCGACTGCTGGAGATGATTTGGCATTTGGATGTGAGTGTGTGTGGGTATAAGGCTTGTTGTTGTTTTTGCTGGGTCAGTTCCAACTCATAGCAACCCTATACACAACAGAACAAAACACTACCCAGTCCTGTGTCATCCTCACATCTGTTGCTATGTGTGAGCCCACTGCTGTTGCCACTATGTCATTCTATCTCTTTGGGGGTCTTCCTCTTTTTTTGTTGACCCTATATTTTACCAAGCATGATATCCTTATCGAGGAACTGGTCCCTCCAAACAGCATATCCAAAGTATTAGACACCAAGTCTTGCCATCCTGACTTCCAAGGAGCATTCTGGCTGTACTTCTTCCAATAAAGATTTGTTTGTTTTTCTGGTAGTACTTTCAATATTCTTCTCCAACACTATAACTCAAATGCATCAATTCCTCTACTGTCTTTCTTAATCACTGTCCAACTTTCACATGCATGTGAGGCAACTGAAAATACCATGGCTTGGGTCAGCTGCACCTTAGTCCTCCTCAAACTGACACTTTTACTCTTGAACACTGTATAGGATATTGTGCAGCAGATTTGCCTAATGCAACATGTCATTTGATTTTTTGACTGCCTCTTCCAGGAGTGTTGATTATGGATCCAAGAAAAATGAAGTCAATTGACAACTTCAATCTTTTCTCCATTTATCATTCTATTTATTGGTCTAGTGTGAGTACCTTTGTTTTCTTTACAATGATGTGAAACCCACAGTGAAGGGTATATAAGGTGTACTGACTCATACTGACTCATAAATTCACTGCTATCAGCTGTTTAAGCAGTCTATGGCTAACAAACCAAGCTGACTGGCCCTCTGGCCCTAATCACAAACTAAATCTCTGTCTTGGGCAAAGGGTATAACAGTGTTGTAATTCCTCGAAAACAAGCTAAAGAAGTATTTGGGGAAACAAGTATTATGTAAATTATAGTGACATAGCTTTCCAATGGCTAAAAAACAACCCCAGTAACATTAGTAGTTAAGAAAGAATGAAAAATAATTGCTGTTTGTTGGTGTCAGGAACCGTAAAGCTGGTTTTGACTTACAGTGACCCTGTGCACAACAGAATGAAACCCTACGTGGCCCTGCGCCATCCTCACAATCATTGTTACACTTGAGCCCACTGTTTCTCCCACTGTGCCATTTCATCTCCTTGGAGTCTTCCTTTTTTTCACTAACCCGCCACTTTACCAAGTACTGCTAAAGTCCTGGTGTGGTGCTGTAGGCTAAGCACTGGACTTTTAACCAAAAGGTCAGTAGTTCAAATCCACCAGTCACTCCTCAGAAAACCTACATAGGGTCATTACAAGTTGGAACTCACTTGATGGAACTTAACAGCAACATGGTGGTGGTTATGTGCCGGGAAGTCAGTTTCGACTCATAGCAACCCTGTACAGGGTTTCTGAGGCTGTAAATCTTTACAGGAGCAGAAAGCCTCATCTTTCTCCCACAGAACAGCTGGTAGTTTCCAACTGGTGACCTTGAGGTTAGCAGCCCAATTTGTAACCACTACGCTCGCTACCAGAGCTCCCCTTTAACAGCAACATATACCTTATTAAGTCCTGTATATGTAAATTTCATGTAATCTCCATAATACCCCTATGGTTGTTAAAGTCACATGATAAGTGATAGAACAAGACTTCACTCATGTTTATCTGACTCCTGAGCCCAAACTCTTTTAACCATTATGCTCACTGCCAAATTATTCTAAATAAGTCCAGATAACAGTATTAGGGGCAGTGGATCAAAGTGCCAGAAGACAGATTTCAGTTCTCTATGCTGTTGCTGTTGTTGTTGTTAAGTGCCATTTAGTCATTCTAACTCATAATGACCCTGTTTCTAAGGACCAGCTGCTGGGTTTGAACTGCCAGCTTTGCAGTTAGCAGTCCAGTGCTTAACTTACAGTGCCACAACAGGACTCTTCAGTTCTCTAAGTTGCTGTTGTGGTTAAGTGCTGTCAAGTCAGTTGTGATTCACAGCAATCCTGTATAGGGTTTCCAAGGAATGGCTGGTGGGTTTGAATCGTCAACCTTGTGGTTAACAGTTCAGTGCTTTATCTTATAGCACCACACCAGGAATCCATAAGGAAGGCTTAATAGTCTGGCGCTCAATAATGACATGAGATATAACAATATGAGGAAATCGTGGGCTTCCTGCCCTGAAAATGTCAGTTAAGAAAATAATCTGCTAGAAACTTAGACCTAGAAATTACTTTACAATTCTTAAGACTTTATGGGTCCCTTGCTAAAATGTACTCAATGTTCAGCTTTAATAATAAGTTTTGATACAAAACTACTCAATGACCAGACAGCCGGCTGATGCCCTTGGGCCATTGCTCACCTTTAAGATGTTGGCACAGAACCGCTCCCAAAGTGACAGCTCTCCTTCCTTGATCCATGACATGTTTCTTGCCTGTTAGGAGAGCTCCCCAAAACAAGACACCCCAGCCACGTAACCTAGGATTCATAAAAAAGAGGATAAGAAGTCACCATGGATTGCAAAAAAATGAGTTCCTTCCAATCCCCTGGGATTGATCCGAACGGTGAGGAGCAGCCAGCATAGACTTCAAAAACACTGGTGCAAGCCTCTACTCTCACCACCCCGAGTTGCATTAAGTCAAGGAACCTTTGAGACAGAGGTCTTCCCTTGATTCTCCTGTTTTCTCGGCGGCCCGTATTCCCATATCCTTTTCAACAGGATCTGTCCTGCTCTCTTCTGAACATCTGAGTTGGTATGCTGACAGTTGGTATCACACTGCTTACATCCTGATCACTCTCCGCCTCTTCCTTCCCCATCTTCCGCCAAGACATTTCCTACTCTGCGCTCCCAGTTATTAACCCCTTCCTTTGGTACACCCAGCTAACCTCCTATCTCAGCGTTCTAGTTTTCCCTCAACTGTCTCTTCTGCTGCCCCCTTTCTTTCTCCCATAACTGCCTTCCCTCACTCTCACCTCCCTCTCCTTTCGACTACCCCTACAACTCAGCACCTGAACGGCTGCCCTCCAAGTCTTCTAACCTCTTCAGTGGGCCGACACTTCTTCACGACGTGGCGCTGGAAAACTACGTCATCGTTGGGCGCGGGACACGTCCCTTCTTTAGCGGACTGGCAGAGGCCTGTTGTGCACGTGTTTAACCAGGAGGAGGCGCGGCGCGACAGTTTGGGGTCTGCAATTCGCACACCGCTAGGGGCGGGGAGAGTGATGAGGGTGAAAGCCGAGTTAGCGACTGAGGGGTGGGAGGCGAGACTCTAGGCCACATGCTGGGGAAAGGCTGGCGAAAGTGGGAATCGAGACCACCTGGGGCAACAAGCTGAGTATGTTGTTGTTCAGTGTCGGTACCCACTCACAGAGTGTCCGAAACTGTAAATCTTTGCGGAAGCAGAAAGTCTCATCTCTCTCTCCCCTGAGCCGCTGAAGGGCTTGAATCACCACCCTGTGGCTATCCATTGTTAATTGACAGAGCCACCTCGCTTCCCCCAGGCTGGCTAGATTAAGGGAAATGTGCCACAGGTCAAGAATTTCCACCTCGAAATCAGGGACTTCTCAGTGAATGAAGGCGCTTGAGGACTGCTGAGAAAGCGGAAGAACTTGGCTTCTTTAGAGGTCTGATATAGTGTAGTCCTAAATGTCTTACTTTTACTGCTTTTAATGGATTTAGTTGTTTGGAATGAAGTTCTTAGCCTTATTCAATCTTACAACAAATTTAGTATCCCATTTTGTGCTGATCCCAGGAACTCAGATTTTAGTATTTTCAGATTCTCAGACTCACTCATGAAGTCAAAAACTCATTTTCCTCCAAATCTGATGGAACCAGGCTTTTGTTCAAAACATGAAACTTCCATCTAGATGTTTTGAAACGAGTAGAATTTCACAATTAAAAAAAAAAAACCCTTCTTTTTAGATTGTCAAGTCTTATCAAGGAAACAAGAAGAGATATTGATTGCACTGTCGCTGTTGTTACATAACTTCGAGTTGGTTCTGGCTGTATAGCAAACCTGTATAGGGTTCCCAAGGAGTACCTGGTGAGTTTGAACTGCTGACCTTGCAGTTCAAACCAACCTTGAGGTCCACTGCTTATTCAACTGCACCACACCAGGACTCCTTTCTGATGAAAGGGTTACTTGAACAGAACATGGTCCAAAAAAGCCCTAGAGATGAGTAACCCACCCAGGGACAGTCTTCAACATTTCCATCTTCAGTGCTTAGCAGCCTGGGATATAAACAGTTTGGGCCTAGCAGGGATTTTTTTATTTTGTAAAGATCACTTACTAAAGTCAATAGTAGTTTGCTGCCTTTAAGAATGTCCAGTGCCAGCTTTTTTTTTGTACAATTAGTAAAGGGACCAGGAAGTACATGAGTGGATGAAAGTTCTTACCCTTGTTCTGGTAATGTTGCCTAATTTAAGGATTTAAACCACTTTCCTTTGGTTTTTTGTGTAACCTTTGGATGTCTCCAGTCATAACCTTTTTCAAGATATTTCCTTTGTTGTAAAACGCTGTCATCTGTTCTGACTCATAGTGACCCAGTATCGGGTTTCAGAGGAGCAGCCAATGGGTTTGAACCACTGACCTTGTGGTTAGCAGTCCACCTTTGTTGTTAGTACAGCCAAGTCACTTCTGACTCAGTAACCTGGGTATAGGGTTTCTGAGAAGCAGCTGGTGAGTCTGAACTGCCAACCTTGCAGTTGGCAGTCTAGTGTTTATCCTATAGCGCCACACCTGGACTCCTTTGTTGTTGTTGTTAAATGCCACTGAGTCTACTCCAAATAACAAGGACCCTACATAGGGTTTCCAAGTAGCAGTGCTAGGTTTGGACTGCCCACCTTGCAGTTAACAGTCCAGTGCTTATCCTACAGCACCACACCAGGACTCCCAAGACTCCTTTGTTGTTAAGTGGAGTTGGTTCTTGTAGTTAATCTAACATTCCAGGAACAGAGGACTCTAGGAACATCAAGGGAGAAGAGGATGAGCAGAATGTGGGACCCTATCCAGGAAGCATTGACACCAGAGACAAGGCACAGATAATGACATGGAGAGATAAGAGCAGCTGAGGACCCTAGACTCATGGAAAGAGAAAGATGTGTGCTGGTGGTCAGGAGGCAGGTTTGCAGAATGTGCCCTTTGGTTGTTTAAATGATTATGTTCCTGAATGTCTTTTTGTACAGCAAAAAAAAGAGAGGGGACTAGAAGCAAATACTGTTGTATGATGCTGCATGGAGGGGAATGTAATCATTGCAATGAAACAAGATATGACAGGATGAGTGCAAAACCAATGTTCTCCCATGTAAACCATGTAAACTATCACTTATAATTAAAGCTTAAAAAAAAACCTGTACAGGATTTTCCAAGGAGACTGCTGAGTTTGAACCTCTGATCTTGTGGTTCAAACAACCTTGCAGTCCTGTGCTTTATCCTACTGGTTTGAAAATATAATGTGTATAAGCAGACTAGCAAACTTTGGCTCAAAGAAAATATCAAATGTAACTGGTCACTATTATCTTTTCTGGCCTGTTTCCCAGTTCATCATATTACCATCTTTGGGGTGATACAGACAATTAACATTTGTAAAGGTTTTTGAGGAGTTAAGAGATAAAAATATAGCATCTCATGTGCCAAGCCATGGCCCCATCTTTTCATTCCAGCTAAGGAGCTCTGGTAGAATAGTGGTTGTGAATTGGTCAGCAGTTCAAAACTACCAGCTGTTCAGCAGGAGAAAGATGAGGCTTTCTTGTCCCATAAACATTACAGCCTAGGAAATCCTATACAGGGTCACTATGAGTCGGATTCCACAGCACATAACCACCACCAGTGACACAGGCAACTCCATTCTTATGCCAAGCCCCTAACCCCCTCTTGAATGTGGCAGCTTCCAAGTGGAGAACAAATTGCCTTAAATAGAAATAAAAATCCACTGTTATGAGGGACTAAGAGAATTCGTTTTCAAGATTCAGTCCCACCAACACAGTGGCTGAACAGAAAACTCAATGTCTCTTCTGAGATCTGAGTCCCAATCCAGAATGGGAATTTTATGAAAGAGGGAAAGTACCCAAAATATCTGCCATGGAGACACAGGTTCAGTACCAATAAGTCTTTATTCATTGTATTTTCCCAGGAAAAGAGAGGGGAAGGCAAAAGTCTTAGCATGTGTTACAAAATTATAGAAGGGAAAGAAAGGACCCAGTACAGCAAAATCAACCATTAAACACATCCCAGTGATGGGGGCCAACCAAAGCCCAATGGGGCTCAGCCTCCTGCAGTTCAGGAATGAGGTGAAGGGATCAGGGAAAGAACAGACAGGTATACACTTTCCTACCCTCCCTCCCTCCCCATAAATTCAAGATTTCACACAAAGCTTTGGTTTCTAGCAGTAAACATGGAGTTACATTCGTCCGTCTCCTATTAAACAATCTTGTGGCCACTTTGACATAAGTTTCTTGCACCTGCATAGAAGTTCCTGAGTGACTTGGAAATACATTCATCGTCCCTTTCTTGGTCTCCCACTCCACTTTCTATGTGACCCTATTGCTTCTCTCTACCCTATGACCCTATGATTGGAGATTAAGTAGCTTTGATCCATCCAAATATGTGTGAATTTGGGCATGCATCATATCAAGGATGTGTCTTTACTCAGAAAGTTGGAAATGAGGGATGGACTGTTCCTGGCTTCTTCAGTTTTTTATTTTAAAACAAAATGCATGACGATTGTGGAGACACCCCACCAAACTAGATGTATATGTGGGTTTCAGGAGCGGGGGTTCTGAGGAGGTAGGGTAGGAGTGAAAATTTTAGAACAGACGATCTGATTCAAAAGTGGAACTAGGGAAAAGCAAACCCAAAGAAAGGATGGTTTAAGACCCCCACTCAAGAAGGGTCCCCCCCAAGCTTACATTTCAGATTCTTTTGCCTGGTGCAGAACCTTCTGCCGAAGATGCTTTGGCTATTTTTCGTTCAGTACAAAAAAAGTTTGTAAACAATAAAAAACCCAAAAGAACATGGACCAACACATTATATTTACACAAACTAGGCCACCTAGCAATCACCAAATCAGCGACTTGTGAAGTTCTACAAACCCCAGACAAATATAACGACTAGAGGGGGCAGCATTTAGAGGAGACAAGAACCCAGGATCAGACATACATCACCCAATGCGTTCTATTGCATTTGGCCCGTTTCAACACAGTGAGGTAGGTTTGCAGTGATCTCATAGCATGTAAACGAAACCCTTTTCCTCCTTAGCTGCCATGACACTATGACAGCTGGTCAGGGGATTGGCTCTGGGCACCACAAAGAAGCCCTTGCTTGGGTCTCTCTGGAAGCCAGGCAGGAAAAGTCCAGAATGTTTAAAAGGTTAAGGATTTTAGTCCTTGTTTCATCTATCCACCCTTGGGCAGCACAGGATGGGTATAGAGGTATCATTTGTAAAACCTATGCTACCAACTCAGATTTTCTCACACACACACACAAACACACACTCTCTCTCTCCCCACCCCCATTGTGCATGGTAGGCCTAGCCTAATCCAGTAAAGGATGGATCTGGTGTGTGAGGTGAGTTCCATGTCCTAAGATGAAAAGTTTGGACTAGGCGTCCCTGTTACATTAATAGACAACCCTCACCTAACCTTGGCTTACTCTGAGCCTTCACCTGACCTAGCCTCTCCTAACCTCTCTGCACCACCTTCAAGTTCACATGAATCCTCAATCTTCTAGTAGAAGATCAAGTCATGGGGCAACCCAATGAAATCCTAGTCTCCCATGGCACATTTTCAAGGTGGAGGGGTTTCAAGAGGACACTATGGCAGAAAAGCCAGCTCTAATTGGCAAAAATGAGGTAGTTCAATAGACTATACACTCCAAATAGTTGTTCTTTGAGGTGATAAAACAACAACAAAAAATTATTCCTGCTGTGCAGACCTGGAGCTGCTGCCAACTTATCCCTGAGATTGCTCATGTACCTGAGAACACAGTGCAGGAATGAGGGCCTTAGATTAAAATATACAAAAATACAAAACCAGAATATTTATATTAAGGAAAAAAAAGTTAAAATGCACAAGATACGTCATTCGCACACAACTAGTGCAGTTGGCATTCTGGAGAAAGTGGGACCCAAGGTGCCGTTATCCAAGGGAGCAAATAAATAAAACCATATTGGCCCAGAATGGGGTGAGAATGAGCTTAGGAGCACAAGTCTGCAGTTGTTCCCCAATCACCACTTTTGTCTACCATCACAACCCATTGCTTGGGACAATACCAAGCACCCTGTCCCAAGATTGGGTTATGAGAAGCCAAGACATGGGGAAAAGTCTGCCCTCTCCCTAAGAAATTCCCTCCCACAGAATATAGTAGCTTTTGGATTTGGACCATCAGACTGGTCTCCTGCTTAATCTTTTTATATTCTAGCATGGGAAATTATATATCCTTCTTTAAAAGGAAAGCTTCCCTAGCCAGGCCACTTTCAAAAGCTAGGGATTCTGGGGGTGGAGCCTCAGATAAAAACTGGCAGACTCTAGGGGAATTTCTCCTAAAAGCTCTCAATTGCATTTGGATTAAGTCTAGTTGGAGTTCCTTTACCTCACTCCTTCCTCCCCCACCCACCCCCACCAAGAGGGAAGAGGGAACGATGATATGGACTCCCACCTGAGATACATGGCAGTACCAGCTGCCCCCTACCCACCCTATCCCACTTTCTCCACTCTCTGCCGATTGATGCCTGCTCCTTGAAACTTCCTAACAGCAAAAGGACAGCTCTCCCCCACACTGCTGCTCAATTCTGGCCCTCTGGGAGCAGGGTGGGGCTGTGGATCTCTTCTTCTTCCTCCCGAAAGTAGGCTGGCTTTCCCTGTGAGCTGGGGGCCTGCTGGGCCTTCAGTGGACACGAGGCCACCATATGGCTGATGCTCTGGCAGAAGTGACACTTCTTGGGCTGAGGTGGCAGCTTGCATTCCTTGGCATGATGGTCTAGACCACCACAGTTGTAGCACCTAGTGGAAAGCAAGAAGGTAAAGATGAGAAGGAGGACTGAGAATCTGGCCTCAGTTCTATCATTACACTAATGTGACAACTTAGCTAGACTACGGCGTCTAGATGGTTGGTCTCCTCTCTGAGATTCCAGCCTACTCTGCAAATGCCACACTCAAGACTGTAACATCAACTCCTCAGACTTGTCAGGATCGGTTTCTAAGGCCGTAAACCTTTACAGGAGCTTCATCTTGACTGATATGATTGAACTGCCAACCTTGTGATTAGCAGTCCAGTGCTTATCCTACAGTGCCAGATCTACAATAGCATAAGCTAATGCCTTAAAAAATCAATCTAGTGGTTCTGTTTCTCTGGTGATCCAAGGTGCGGGCAGAATGTCCCCAGAAAAAACCCATAAGATGTCCTCCAAGTCACACCTGTCTCCTTTGGACCTGCGCTTCTGCATGTTCTTCCCCTTGGGCCGTCTTTCACTTCCAATACAAAACACCCCACCAGGCCCTGTGACTCGGATTGACTCCAAGCCCTTAGCCGACTTCTTAAAGGTGAACTCCACTGCCTCTCCCTCCTTCAGGCTCCGGAAGCCTTCCATGTGCAGCTTGCTCTGAGGAGAAGAAACAGTAGATTTTAACATTAGTTCCCACTGTTACATCAAACATGCACACAGACTCCTGTGAAGTAGGATGAGCAGGTGTTTCATCACTTACATGTTTTAGTAAAGAATCTACATTAGCAAACAACAATTATGATTATACAAACAAATATTTTTTTTGTAGCAATATTCATTTAAAGTTCTAAGTAGAACAGGAAAAGAGGAAATTTTCTAGATGTAAGCTCTGGTAGCGTAGTGGTTACGAATCGGGCTGCAAACTGCAAGGTCAGCAGTTCAAAACTACCAGCTGCTCCATGGGAGATGAGGCTTTCTGCTCCATTAAAGATTTACAGCCTCGGAAACCCTGTTCAGGTCGCTATGGGTCAGAACAATAACAAAGTATATGTAAGACATTAACAAATATTAAATTGTAAAATATAAATAGGCAATACATTAAGCAATGCTTTCAAATAAAGTTAGTCGGTATGTATTAACTTGGGTCAAGGGAAAAGAAATACATAGTAAAGGGGAGGTCAGCACACTGTGATTGAGTGGTACTCAAGAGTACAAAAGGAAACAATGTTAAATACTATTAAATACATCACCCTAAAGTAACAGTAATAAATAATTACAGGTAGATAGGTAAACTGAACATGTGTATGATGATGTATGGGAGCACACCCACAGGTATATATATATATATATAGCTCTGGTAGCATAGTGGTTACGAATCGGGCTGAGAACCGGAAGGTCAGCAGTTCGAAACTACCAGCTGCTCCGCGGGAGAAAGATGAGGCGATCTGCTCCCGTAAAGATTTACAGCCTCGGAAACCCTATTCAGGGTCTATATAGGTTTGGCAGAGAACATTTCTACATACATACTTATATGTTCTGCAACTATATCCAGGTATATAATAGTAAAGCACGCAGGAGGCAAAGTTATACAAACTTCATTGTCATGACCAAACATCTTGAGGGGCTTAATTACTGGGCCCCAGTGTTTGGGGAGAAATCTAAGTCAATTGGCATAATATAATTCAAAGATACTGTTCTTCATCCTACTTAACAGCCTGTGAGTGGCCATCTAAGACACAACTATTGGTGCCTTTCTGTCCAGAGTAAATGAAAACCAGAGACTTGAGGAAACAATTAGTCCAAAGGACTTATGAACCAGTCTCCACTAGCTTGAGACCAGAACTAGACGGTGCCCAGCTACCAACATAATCACCTGCTCTGATTGATGGAAGGTCCTGAGCAGAGTGGGAGAAAAATGTAGAACAAAACTAAAAGTCATAAAAAAGTTTAGACTTACTGGTTTGATAGAGACTGGTGGAACCACTGAGACACAGGTCCTTAGATACCCTTCTCCCCTTCAAACCTCAAACTAAACACTATTCTGGAGATCACCATTCCATCAAACAATGGTGGTGGTGGTATGTCAGGGAGTCGGTTCCAACTCAGTGACCCTGCATAGGGTTTCCAAGGCTGTAAATCTTTACAGGAGTAAAAAGCCTCATCTGTCTCCTGTGGAATACCTGGCAGTTTCAAACTGCTGACCTTCATGTTAGCAGCCTGACTTGTAACTACTACGCTATGAGAGCTCCTAGTCAAACAATAGATAGGTCTATAAAGTGGACAACAGCACCTATGAGGAATGTTGTTGTTGTTAAGTGCCTTCGAGTCGGTTCCGACCCATAGCGACCCTGTACAGGGTTTCCGAGGGTGTAAATCTTTACGGGAGTAGAAAGCCTCATCTTTCTCCGTAAAACAATCAATCACATTGAGAATAAAGGGCAGCATTTGCCCAAAAACAAAGTCAGAAGGAAGGAAGGATGGGGCAGGAAATGTGATGAATGGAAACAGGGAACCCAGAGGGGAAGTGGAAGAGTGCTATTACATTCAGGGGATTGCAACTAATGTCAGGAAACAATGTGGATAAATTATTGGCTGGGAACTAATTTACTATGTAGAATTATCACTCAAATCACAAACAAAACCAAACAAACCAGAATGAGATACCATTTCATTCCCCCTAGGATTTTTAAGAAAACAAAACAAAACAGAAAATTAAAAATGGCTTGGATGTGGGGTAATTGGAGTCATTATTCATTGCTGGTGGGAATTCAAAATGGTGCAGGGTTGTGGAAAACAGTGTGGCAGCTCCTCATTTAACTATCGGTGGCTGGCTGATAATTGCAAAGTCAGCAGTTTGAATCTACCTGTCAGTTCTCAGGAGAAAGATGAGGCTTTCTGCTCCCCTAAAGATTTTCAGCCTCGGAAACCCTACGTAGGGTCGCTATGAGTCAGAATCTACTCTGGGGCACACCACCACCATCACCATTATACAGGAGTCCTGGTGTGGCACTGTAGGATAAGTACCGGACTGTTAAACACCAGGTTGGCAGTTCGAACCTACCATCCACTCCTCAGAAACCCTGTACAGGGTTTGCTATGAGTCAGAACCGACTCCATGGCAACTGAAAAGATTAGATAGGAAACTTAGGGAACAATGAGTTTATGTTAATGAAGGAGCACCTCAAGAAAGGTTGGGAGGGTGGTTGCACAACCCCAGGAAGATAATGTCTTAAATTGTGTAGAGACTGGTGTATGTTTTACTGTGTATATCTTTTCAACAAGAAGAAATAAAACTTAGAAATTTTTTTTAAAGGGAGGTAAGTGTTTTCATAGCTAGGGATTGGCAGAATCAGGGTCAGAAGAAACCAAATTTCCTGCTTTAAAAGCTCACAACTCATTGCACCGCCATGCTGCTTACTGTATCAGCAACAGATCCCACCCAGAATAGACTCAATTTTTTTCAGTTTATGAGGCTACGTCTGAATTCAGGGCACTGGCTCTAGGGAGAATCTTTCTCTCTGTTGCTCTGGAGGAAGTTCATTGTTTCTTGGGTTTATACTTCTGAGGAGATTCCCATGTGTCTTGGCATCCCTCTTTCCCTACTTCTGCGCTTCTGTTTCACTTAATATCTTTCATATGTCAAGCGATTGACTCAAGATACAACCTACACTAATACTGTTGTTGTTAAGTCAAGTTGGTTGTGACTCAAAGCAACCCTGTTTAGAGTTTCTGAGGGGCAGCTGGTGAATTTGAACTACCTACTGTGGTGCTGTGGGTTAATGCGCCAGACTGTAAAGCCATTTGAACTGCAAGGTTGGCGGTTCAAGCTCATCAGCTGCTCGTCGGAAACCCTATACAGGGTCACTATGGGTCAGAATCAACTCAATGGCATTTAACAATAACCTTGAGGTTCACACTGACATTGCTATCCAGCAGTGCATTATCCCACAGCACCACACGAGGATGCCAATACTATTATAGCAACAACATAGCAAAGACAACCCATTTTCAAACAGAATTACAAGCAGAGGTGTAGATGTTCAGATTTACAAAACTTATTTTTGTTGTTAAGTGTCTTCAAGTCTGTTCCAACTCACAGCGATCCTAGTGTGTAGAGTTTCCAAGGAGCAGCTGTTGAGTTTGAATGGCCAAGCTCGCAGTTCAAAACCTTGTGGTTCCGTGATTCTTATACAGGGCCACACCAGGACTCTTTTTTTTGTTGTTGTTGTTGTTGGGGGTGGGGAGGAATGGACATAATTCATAACACCCTTCATAAAAAAATTTCAAATTATGTGAAGCATGTCAATAAGGAAGAAGTAGTCATTATAGAAAATGAAATGGAGTTTCCAAAAGATCGTTGTCCAGGGGAGATACATGGACAGGAGGGGAAATGATTAATTAGCACTAGTATTTTATCCTTGAGGGCAGGAGTGGGAGGGAGAAGAGGTTTAGTCTAATTTGGACTTTAGGTTGACAGTAACCTCTTTAACCAGATAGGGTCCTACCCTCATTCATTTTCATTTTTATTTTAATTTAGATGGTATTGTGAAAGACAAATTTCTTCAATCATGAAATACTGCTTCTACCAGATTACTAAAGTCTCTGGGTAGCACAAATGGTTTTTGCCCTGTACTAAAAACTACACTACAAAAAGTGCTCTACAACTACAAAAAGAAAGTTTGTCAGTTCGAACTCACCCATAGGCACCTTCACAGGTAGACCTGGTAATCTGCTTCTGAACTATCACAGCCTTGAAAACCCCACAGAGCAGTGGTCAAGTCAGAATTGACTCAGTGGGTTACACACTGGGCTGCTAACCAAAAGGGAAACTCACCAGCCACTCCTCGGGAGAAGGAAAACATTCTGCTCCTCTAGCCTATAGAGTTGGTATGAGTCCGAATTAACTTCACAGCAGTGGATTTTTTGGTTTGCAAAAGTCCAAAGTTAGTGATCAGTAAACATTTCCTATATTATTTATAGTTTTGTCTGCCTGTCCCCACCATAGAATATGTCAAAAGTGGTGGGTCCCCCCAAAAATATATGTCTTTGTTTGCCCTACAGGACAGCTAGGGATAGGATAATTGCCCTTGCCTCCCCCATCTTTCCACTTTTATTAAGCCAAGAAACACAGTAGAGCATTAAAACAGAAAACCTAGACACTGCAAAGGGATGAAAGGACCTTTCCTTCCCCTTATTGCACAATAACCTCTCTGAATCTGAAGTCAGGTTTGACTTGTCTCTTATTGAACAGGTACAGGAGGAGCTAGACAGAAAAAGAGAGCTTCTTAACCAGCCAATTCAGCCGTATCCATTTTTTTTTATAACTTTTTTTATTGTGAACTGAGTGAAGGTTTACAGAGCAGATTCAGCCGTATCCATTTGATTTGAATCATTAACAGCAGCTAAGTAGTTAAGAGCAAAAGTCTCATAGGCTGTTCTCTTCTTTCCTGTTCAGCTTCCTATCTATAAAACAGAGTAAATACTAACTTCATGGTGTGCAGTGAGGTTTTATGCATGAAAAGCAGTTAACACATCACCTGGTACACATAAACCCAATAAAAAGCAATTATCATCTACCTCTTGGATTAAGGCAGGGTTAACCAACTAGCTTTATCACTCAGCTATGGAAACTTAGAAAACTATTCCTTCTATGAGTT